CGGGGGGGGGGGGGGGGGGGGGGGGAGAGGAGGGAGACTCTGAGGATGGCCGCATTAACAAGAAATCATGACTGCTCCTTGTTCCCAAATGGGGGGGGGAAGAGGAGGGTTTTATGGGAGCTGAGGAAGAAGAAGAGGAGAAACAACACAGACAGCAAAGGGAGAGAAGGGAAACAGCTAAACAGTGGGATAGGAGGATGTTTTGAAAAGGGATGTCTGTTCCTCCAATTCCAGGCCTAGCGTGTCCCCCTCCCAAAACAAGGAGGGCGCAAACAAGGGCGCCCCTAAAAAGAAGGACGTTTGTGCATTAAGATCAGCAAGGAGGAAGGGAGGGTGGGCCGGGAGTAAAAATGTAAAATGTGGAAATTAAAAATATATTTATATATAAAAAAGAGAGTGTGGGATACCCAGGATCCGCCACGGGGAGGGGGTGTCCCCTCCCCTGCCCGTTGACAGCAAATGCTTGGCAACAGGAGCCTCGGAAGCGTCTTCCGCCAGACAGGCCTCCGACGTGGGACAAGCGGCGTTCAGTGCTGGGCGAGGTGGCTACCGGCATCCTAGAGGGGCTGGAAGAGGAGCCCCGCACTCAGTCTTCCAGGATGATGGTTTCGCTGGTGCTGGCAGGATGGACTGGGGGGACGGGCACCAGGGGAGCCCCCAGGGGCCTGAGGGGCAGCACTGATTTCACCTTGACCGGCAGGTTGGGCCGACGGGCAGCACGGCGCATTTCCAAGTGGCTCAGCGCCTTGCGCAGGGCCCTGGTGAAGGAAGAAGAGGAGCACGGTTTTAGCATGCTAGGGGCCAGCCTAGCAGGGCAGCGTCAGCTGGATCCTACAGCAGAGCAAACCACTTGCTCGAGGGTTCCTCTGCAGCCTCCCCCTCCCCAAAATCCCTGTGGTCCTCTATTCCCCAGACATCCAACATCCTTCGGAAGCATCTTACAATTCCCAACCAGCAAATCTCTAGGCCTTAGGGAGCAAAAGGAGACTTTGCCTTTGACTTCATTTTTTTAAGGGGGGAGTGTCTTTCATTTCCCTCCCCTCCCAGCGTTCTAGCCAGAAATATCCAGAATTTGGTAAAAACTCAGAATATGCAGTAAAAACATGAAATGACACAAAATCGACTCCTTTATTTGGGGAATCCTGATCAGCCTGGCTTGGAGAAAACAGCAAAGGAGAACCCGTTTTTCCATAGCCCACCCTGACTAACCTCCCCAGGGGAATTGTCAAAAAAGACCTGGACTGTTGGGATAACAGATCACCCCTGCCCCAAAACTCAGAACCTTAAAGGGATTCCAGAATTCTAGAATGCATTGAACTGGAATTCTGTTTCTGCCCTTCCGATTCAGGGAATTGGCACAAACTCTGTATCGAAGGGCAGAGGACTGAACAGAAGAGGCTGTATCACCCTCCCAGGGCCAGAGAAGGGGTAGGTGAAATGGCCCACCCCACCCACCATCACCTTCCTGCTCACCTGTCAGCCTTGCGAGGAAGTACACCCAAAGATACTAGCTCTATTTTTATTGTAGGGTGACATTAACAGACTCCTGCAAGTCTGAAAGTACATCCCCCCCCCCGGGCCTTTACAGCCTGAGAAATTAGGGAAGGTCCCTTCTGAGACGTTTATCACATCCCCATTTCTTCTGCAGGCTCAGCTGCTGCTTATCTAACTGTTGCCTAGTCTACAGCTCTTCCTCCTGTCTCCCGAGGTCATTCCCACAGACCATTCCATCACCCCACGGCCCTGTTAACAAATCCCTGCCTTGGTACCTGGTGTCCTTGGTCGCCACAAAAACGACAGGATTGGGGGCGTCGGCCGGGTTCAGCTTCTGACGTTTCATGGCAGGCTGAGTGCTTGACCTCATTCCGGAAGTCAGGGGCCGCCCGTTGGCCGAGAAGGGGAGCCCGCCCCCTGCCACCTGCGCCCGGTCGCACACAGAGCTATCAGCGAGAGGAAACCCCCCCCAAAGCAGTGTCTACCTCTTGCGGGCTCCCACCCAGCCACCCTCCCACCCCTTCCATTCCAGATCAGCCTTCTGCCTGCGAGACAGGGGGACAGCCCTCTGAACGAGCTAGGAGGAAGAGAGCGATACCACTGCCCAATTCTGCAGGGAGAAAACTGAGACAAAGCAGGGCTGGCTTCCCTCGTAGATGGAGGAGGGAAGTTCTGGAAAATGGAACAGCAATATATGACACAGTAGCCCCCAAACTACACCAACTCCTACAAGGACATAGAGGATTTTTTGCCATTTCCGCCCTTTCTGGCTTTCCAAATCTCTGGACCGTTTCCCTTACAGAAGGTCACCCCCTCTACTCCCACACCTCCAGGCCTGGCCCGGCCCACCTGTCACCCACGGCCCAGAGCCACTCACGTTCTCGAAAGTCCGTTTGCCCACGATGCCAGCCAAACCTCTGTTCTGGGTCAGCTGATTCCTGTTGATGGGCGTCTTGGTGCCTCGAGGGGTTCGGGGTTTCAGTGGGGCCTGTGCGGCTGTGAAAAGCAGAAGGACGGTGCTGAGGGTGCTGGAAAGGGCAAGAGCTGGCTGACTCTGACTTCTGACCTCGGTTCAGAGAGAGGTTCTCCTGTGATCTTTGGCATGTTGGAGAGGGAAACGCAGTGGCTAAGCTGACCTTAGCCCCAGATATAGTTGCTTGGTGGTTTGGAAATGGGTGGACCAGCCACCTGTGATCTTTATTTTTATGGCACCTACCATCATTTGGGGAAATCGCGGGTCAGTTCACCACGTCAACCTATCCGTGGCTTCTTGAATCAATCTTTGCTTTCTCCCCAGCCGAGGCGACCGACTAAGTCCAGCCATGAAACGCAGGGGGGGAATTCTACAGTTCGTTCCTCTCCCGTGATCGGCAATTACCGGTTTCATGGCAAGCCAGGGCTGACAACAAAGCGGATTCTGCGGCAAGCCAAATAAACCTAGATGTTTGCCCAAAACGACACCGATAAATTTCTAGACCTCATGGCTGCAAAAGGAGAACTTCCTTCCTTCCTTCCTTCCTTTCCTTCCTTTCCTTCCTTTCCTTCTTTCCTTTCCTTCCTCCCTCCCTCCCTCCCTTCCTTCCTTCCTTCCTTCTACATATTACACCTGGCCCCTTCTCCTTCCCCTTTCCATGGTCTTCTTCCTTTCGAGGGGGCAAGAGGGGGAGGACCAGGAAGTGAGGAAGAGAGGCCATTCACATATTAAGAGAGAAACAGAGACCCAGCTAGCACAGAGACCCCTTACCCAGCTCTTTGACAATGGTAGCCAGAGGAAGACGGACCAAAGGATGGATCTTCAGGGGCGTCTTGGCTGCCTTGGGAAGCCGTATCGAGCCTGGATGGGAAGGAAATCATGCCTTGGTTGAGATCTACCAGCGTCTTCCTGCCCTTCCTCCCCACTTTCTCTCCCCCACGTACACTCTGCCTTGATGGCGTTGGCGTTGATGGGTGCATAGGGGCGCCGGGCAGCCCGCCGTGGCTGCAAGATATCCCGGCACATTCGCCGTGCAATGCGGGTCAGCTTGGTGGTCTGCAGCAGGAAGGTCTGCCGGTTTTTCGCCAGCAGTTTGGCCCGGTTTGCGCTGGTCGTGTACGGCGAGAGGCTCTGGGCTTCTGGCCGAGACGTGTGGCCTCGAGAGTGGGGCTCCTGCGAACAAGGGAAGGACGTCCCATGAGATTGGGGCTAGCTCAGAGGAAGAGGAAAGAGAAGTCGGTGGCACAGCCCACAAGCCCGTTAAAAGATGCCCAAGCTAGAAAACCTGTTCCCGTGGGTGGATGAAGGCACCACAACCCCCTCCGGGCAGACCCTTCTTCACTATAAAGCAGACTAATCATTCCTGATTAAAAACCAACGTCCAGCAGAACGTGTGTCCAAAGCTGACGTCCAATCTCTAACGGAAAGCCGCAAAGGGGAAGTCTCTTACTGTAACGCTGCGGGCGGCTCCCTCGAGCTGCGTTGGCGTCTTCAGGCCGCCATATTTCTTCCAGTAGATCCAACAGGAGGCACAGAGGCGGCATTGCATGTTGGGGGGGCCCCAGGCGTACCACTGGGCTGACTGGGTGGCTGTGGGGCAAGAGAGGCGCCAGGTGGGAGTGCCGTTCATAACCCGCCTGCCAAAGGGGCTCATCCCCCTCCAGAGGCCTCCCCAACCGCGTGGGGTGAAGGAGAGATAATTTGGCCCCCTGAGTCAAGCAGGAGGAAGAGGCGCCTCTGATTTCTGGGTGGAAACTTACTGTGGCAACTCTCGCAGGTGAGGCCTTTCTGAAAGCCGGCTCCGTTCATTCCGGGTTTGGAGCCAACGGAGATGATTTGGTTCGGATTCGGTTTCGTACTGTGGAAGGGGAAGGGAGGACAGCGCCATTGAAAGGCTCGGAGGGGGTGACGTCTCACCCATGAGGGCTGCATTTCACAGGTCAAAAGCAACCAGCCTGACCCGAGATCTGGCCATTCTCAAGACAAGGGACTGGGGGAATCCGCCCCACAGAGAATTGCTTCTACCCCTTCGCGTGGGAGGTAGGGCAGAAGAATTTAAATGCCAAGTCTGGAATAAATAGCGCTTGCGTTTGAGACGCAGGCCACCGCTCAATTTTTTTCATAACGGGTTCTTAATTTTTCTACCACAAATCCGAAGCTCATTCCGGGGTCTTCGGGCGCCCGCTTATCCGCCCCAATCCCAGTTTGCCGGGGAGAAATCTGACCCCCTCAAACCCGAGATGGGATACTCACTAGGTTGGGATGTACACCTGTTTCAATTTGCTATCAGCTTCGGCCGCTTTTAACCTTTTCTGTGCAGAAGAAGAAATTGTAGATGGTCAGAAGGAGCATCTTAAAATGGGTCCCCAGGAAATGTGTAACCCTCAAGTAAGGAATCGCCCTCTTCCCGAGACAGCTGCAAAAAGACCCTCACTCACCTGCTGGATGTATCGGTCTGTGGTTTTCCACATGTAGTAGAACTGCACGATGCTGGCCAGGGACTTCCAAGGCAGCTGCAAGAGAGAGGGGCTTTAAGAGTGAAGGGGGCATCGGTGCTGATCGGGGATGAGGGGCTGGGGTTCAGTCCTGCAAATCCTGGTTCAGTCGTGCTCAACAGCTTTCCGGTTTAAATCCCAGCTCCAAGTCAAAAAGTCTAGACGTTGTATGGAGAAATTTTCTCCATGGAGAAGCCTCAAAGTCACAAATTACAGCTTACAAATTCAGTCGGCTTGTCAGCAATGGAACACCCCTGCTCTTCCGAGAGAGTCGGGGGGAAATTCTCCCTTTTTACCAGGAATATTGTGCCACAATCCTACTCACAAAATCCTGCCGAATGTCGTTGAAGTCCTTGCCGTATTTTTCCAGGGCCTCCTCAAACAGCATGGCTTCGGAAGCCGACCACTCCTCCATCTCATCCCGGCACAGCACGGGCCCGCCCTGGGGCACCAAAGTCGACATCGCCTTGGCCAGGTCGTAGCCGTTACGTTGCAAGGTATCCATTGCGTGAAACTGGCAGAGAGAGAGGTGATCTCTTAGAAAAGCGAAGCCGTGGGCTGCTGGTCTGTTTGCAGAGAAATCACAGAGCGAGGTCCGCAGCGCAAGGATCCCACGTTTTTAATTACTTTTTATTAAAGATTTAAATAATTGTAAAAGATAACAGAAACCAAAATCAAAGAGGGAAGGGAAGGGAAGGGAAGGGAAGGGAAGGGAAGGGAAGGGAAGGGAAGGGAA